AGGGACATCTCCGTCACTATGTTCTCCCCGTACTTGGTAGGTTACTAGGGACATCTCCGTCACTATGATCCCCTTGTAATTGGTAGGTTACTATGGACATTTCCGTCAATATGTCCTCCTTTTACTTGGTAGGCTACTAGGGGCATCTCCGTCACTATGTCCTCCTCGTACTTGGTAGGTTACTAGGGACCTCTCCGTCACTATGTTCTCCTCGTACTTGGTAGGTTACTAGGGACATCTCCGTCAATATGTTCTCCTTGTACTTGGTATGCTTCATTTCTCCGTCACTATGTTCTCCCCGCACTTGGTAGGTTACTATGGACATCTCCGTCACTATGTTCTCCCCGTACTTGGTAGGTTACTAGGGACATCTCCGTCACTATGTCCTCCCCGTTCTTGATAGGTTACTAGGGACATCTCCGTCACTATGATCCCCTCGTAATTGGTAGGCTACTAGGGACATTTCCGTCACTATGTCCTCCTTTTACTTGTTAGGTTACTAGGGACATCTCCGTCACTATGTCCTTCTCGTAATTGGTAGGTATCTATGAACATCCCTGTCACTATCTCCTCCTCGTATTTGGTAGGTTACGAGGGACATCTCCGTCACTATGTTCTCCTCGTACTTTGTAGGTTACTAGGGACATCTCCGTCACTATGTTCTCCCCGTACTTGGTAGGTTACTAGGGACAGAGTCAGAGAAACTTATAAATAGCTGTCTCCATAACAAATCTTCGTTCGTATATAGAATCTAAATTTTATAGAATTATAATTGAAGACATCTATGTGTCTCTAAGCCATAAGCGATGATCATATGGAGCAGGAGCGCATAGCAGCAGTGCAATTACCATTGCTTAGGACCCACCCAACGTTTATAGAATTAAAACCGATTTGTCCCAGAAAAAAGGACAATTATAAAATCTAAAATCATTCAAAAATGCTTCCCATAGATTATAACTTTGTACAATTAATTTCACTCATTGAGGAATGTGGGTTGTGGGTTCTAGCTACTCACCGGCTAGCAAAATTACAAGGACCCTCTTCGTGAGCACGGGGATATATTTGACGAAGGAATACTGTATCAAATTTTTCATATCATTTCGTGAAGTAAATTAATTTGTCGTGACACCATTGTGGCAAAGGCCTGTCTGTGTGTTAATTCTTGCTCATTAATATTCTCCAAAGTACCAAAAATAATGCAAAATTATTATTCCTGTCTGAGTTCCGAAGACAAAGTTGCTGATTTAATGTTTATCTGTCATGTTATTATGTCATAACACTAAGTAGTTCGTGTACACGTACTTGTGGTTTAATGCCTCTATTTTAGGGATCATATCACACTCTCCAGATAACAGTTCAAAGCGTAACGTCTTGGATATACGCTGTGTAACAGCTAGATTTATATAGACAAACCCATATGTTACATAAATAATAAACAACTGCACAAGTAATTTTGATGTTATAAATGACACTGTAATATGTAGTTACATGATACTTCATAATCTTATTTCAGTCCCCGGAGGAATTCATGAAAACTGCCTTCAACATTAAATCTACCGCGGAGTTCTTCAACAACTGGGTCAGATTGAATGGGTCTCGAATCAACATCACCAGTCTGCGTAAGTAGATACTTAGTACATCTCAATAAACAACATCAAACTACGTAAGTATATCATTATCAACATCAAACTACGTAAGTATATCATTATCAACATCAAACTACGATAGTGCATAAGTACATCTTTATCAACATCTATACATATATAAATATTTAACCATTTCGACAGACTTTGTTAGTATATAAGTACATCTTTATCAACATCTATACATATGTCGATATTTAACCATTCTGACAGACTATGTAAGTATATAAGTACATCTTTATCAACATCTATACATATATAAATATTTAACCATTTCGACAGACTTTGTTAGTATATAAGTACATCTTTATCAACATCTATACATATGTCAATATTTAACCATTCTGACAGACTATGTAGGTTTATAAGTACATCTTTATCAACATTAGGCTACGTAGTTTATTGTTACTCTTAAATGTTGGAAATTAACTCTGATACTTCGTTTCTTCTGTAAAAATAAATGAAGCCACGCAATACATTATAGATAGAACTCTTATATCTTCAGTTTTGAGTGTGACTAAAATTCCATTTTCGGAAATCGGGGTACCTTGATAATGTTGCACAGTAAACCTCCGCACTATTTTTAACTTTCAAACATACCAACAACAATTATATATGTTTTCAGAAGGTCAAAATGGAGAGGAGGGTGAGAAGATGTTAGTCGGAGGAGGTAAGTTATCAACCTGACTAATGATACGGTGATACTCTAAGGTAGGTTTAGCAATAGATAATACAATTTAAGACAATAATTTGAAAGAAAGCTCTAAAAATACCGGCGTCGAGTTTCTTTTCCAATCCAAGCTCGTCTTATTTGCAGCTTTAAAAAATCAATAGGCGACATTATCAATAAAGCATACAACCAAAATTACAAGAATTTTGTATAAGGCGCGAATCTTGCTGAAATTGATTTTTCTGATTTGAATAAAATACAGACAATGTTCATAACAATAAGGGCATTGTAGATTGCAGCACAAGTGATTTACATTACATTCTTGGAATTTGTCGACATTGAATAAGCGACTATATTAATCTATCATCGCATTTTCATTCACAGAGATCAAAGGGATCGAATCTCTGAATTTCACTTGTCTAATAATGAAAAATGGATTTTTTTATATTTTTTTCTTTGTTTTTCTTGTCATTGATGTGATTTTTTGATATTTTGCGAATTCCTTTTCTGAGCGCCCTGCCTGGTCTACATAGTTCTGATTTATATCTGTCTTCAGAGGAGTTGATGATGGCGGTGTATGACCCGTGTACTCCTCGCCCGGCTACTCAATATTTTGGGATGGAAAACCCCGATCCTTATGTCATGTACTGGCCTCCATGTACCCGGACAAACAAGTGTGGCGGCTGCTGCACCAACAGTATGATGGCATGTGTACCCGTTCAAATATCAAGCACATCTGTACAGGTGAGAGGTAGTCAATGTTGACGCGTGTGTACAGGTTAGGGGTAGTCAATGCTGACGTGTGAACCCGTATGAGTATCCAGGTCGTCTGTACAGGTGAGGGGTAGTCATTGATGACGTGTGTTCCCGTACGAGTAGCCAGCACGTCTGTACAGGTTACAGGTAGTCAATGATGACGGGGGTACCCGTGCGAGTATCCAGCACGTCTGCACAGGTGAGAGGTAGTCAATGTTGACGCGTATGTACAGGTTAGGGGTAGTCAATGCTGACGTGTTAACCCGTCTGAGCATCCAGGTCGTCTGTACAGGGGAGGGGTAGTCAATGATGACGGGTGTACGTGTGTACCTGTGCGAGTATTCAGCACGTCTGTACAGGTGATAGGTAGTAAATGATGACGTGTGTACCTGGACGATTAAACAGCACGTCTGTACAGGTGGGAGGTAGTCCATGATGACGTGTGTACCCGTATGAGTATCCAGCAGCGCTGTTCAAGTGAGATGTAGTCAATGATGACGTATGTACCCGTAAGGTTGTCCTGCACGTCTGTACAGGTGGGAGGTAGTCCATGATGACGTGTGTACCCGAACCAGTGTCCAGCACGTCTGTACAGGTGATATGTAGTCAATGATGACGTATTGCACCAACAGTATGATGGCATGTGTCCCCGTTCAAATATCAAGCGCGTCTGTGCAGGTGAGAGGTAGTCAATGTTGACGCGTGTGTACAGGTTCGGGGTAGTCAATGCTGACGTGTGTACCCGTACGAGAATCCAGCACGTCTGTGCAGGTGAGGGGTAGTCAATGATGACGTATTGCACCAACAGTATGATGGCATGAGTACCCGTTCAAATATCAAGCACATCTGTACAGGTGAGAGGTAGGCAATGATGACGTATGTACCTGTATGAGTATCCAGCACGTATGTACAGGTGATAGGTAGTAAATCATGACGTATGTACCCGTACGGTTGTCCTGCATGTCTGTACAGGTGAGAGGTAGGCAATGATGACGTATGTACCCGTAGGGTTGTCCTGCACGTCTGTACAGGGGAGGGGGAGTCAATGATGACGTGTGTCCCTGTGCGAGTATCCAGCTCGTCTGTACAGGTGAAAGGTAGTCAATGATGACGTGCGTACCCGTACGAGTATCCAGCGCGTCTGTACAGGTGAGGGGTAATCAATGATGACGTGTGTACCAGTACGCGTATCCAGCACGTCTGTACAGGTGGGAGGTAGTCACTGATGACGTGTGTAACCGTACGAGTATCCAGCACGGCTGTACAGGTGAGAGGTAGGCAATGTTGACGCGTGTGTACAGGTTCGGGGTAGTCAATGCTGACGTGTGTACCCGTACGAGTATACAGCACGTCTGTACAGGTGACAGATAGTCAATGATGACGGGTGTACTCGTGCGTGTATCCAGCCCGTCTGTACAGGTGAGAGGAAGTCAATGATGACGTGTGTGCCCGTACGAGTATATGATGACGTATGTACCCGTATGAGTATCCAGCAGCGCTGTTCAAGTGAGATGTAGTCAATGATGACGTATGTACCTGTATGAGTATCCAGCACGTATGTACAGGTGATAGGTAGTAAATGATGACGTGTGTACCTGTGAGCGTATCCAGCACGTCTGTAAAGGTGAGAGGTAGTCAATGGTGACGTGTGTACCCGTACGGTACTCCTGCACGTCTGTACAGGAGAGAGGTAGTCAATGATGACTTATGTACCCGTACGAGTATCCAGCGCGTCTGTACAGGTGAGGGGTAGGCAATGCTGACGTGGGAACCCGTATGAGTAGCCAGGTCGTCTGTACAGGTGGGGGGTAGTCAATGATGACGGGTGTACGTGTGTACCTGTGCGAGTATTCAGCACGTCTGTACAGGTGACAGGTAGTCAATGACGACGGGTGTACCCGTGCGAGTATACAGCACGTCTGTACAGGTGCGAGGTAGTCAATGATGACGCGTGTACCAGTATGAGTATCCAGCACGTATGTACAGGTGATAGGTAGTAAATCATGACGTATGTACCCGTACGGTTGCCCTGCACGTCTGTACAGGTGAGGGATAGTCAATGATGACGTGTGTCCCTGTGCGAGTATCCAGCTCGTCTGTACAGGTGAAAGGTAGTCAATGATGACGGGTGTACTCGTGCGTGTATCCAGCCCGTCTGTACAGGTGAGAGGGAGACAATGATGACGTGTGTACCTGGACGATTAAACAGCACGTCTGTACAGGTGATATGTAGTCAATGATGACGTGTGAACCCGTGCGAGTATCCAGCACGGCTGTACAGGTGAGAGGTAGGCAATGTTGACGCGTGTGTACAGGTTCGGGGTAGTCAATGCTGACGTGCGAACCCGTATGAGTATCCAAGTCGTCTGTACAGATAAGGGATAGTCAATGATGACGTGTGTCCCTGTGCGAGTATCCAGCTCGTCTGTACAGGTGAAAGGTAGTCAATGATGACGGGTGTACTCGTGCGTGTATCCAGCCCGTCTGTACAGGTGAGAGGAAGTCAATGATGACGTATGTAACCGTATGAGTATCCAGCACGTATGTACAGGTGATAGGTAGTAAATGATGACGTATGTACCCGTACGAGTATCCAGCGCGTCTGTACAGGTGAGAGGAAGTCAATGATGACGTGTGTGCCCGTACGAGTATATGATGACGTATGTACCCGTCCGAGTATCCAGCACGTCTGTGCAGGTGAGGGGTAGTCAATGATGGCGTGTGTACCTGTGCGAGTGTCCAGCACGTCTGTACAGGGGAGAGGTAGACAATGATGACGTGTGTACCTGTGAGCGTATCCAGCACGTCTGTAAAGGTGAGAGGTAGTCAATGGTGACGTGTGTACCCGTACGGGTGTCCTGCACGTCTGTACAGGTGAGCGGTAGTCAATGATGACGTATGTACCTGTATGAGTATCCAGCACGTATGTACAGGTGATAGGTAGTAAATGATGACGTGTGTACCTGTGCGAGTATCCAGCACGTCTGTACAGGTGACAGGTAGTCAATGATGACGG